TCTCTCTTCATCAATCCATACTTTTAATTATTGTATCAAATACTATAAATTATCTCACATTGCCAATCTACTTTCTGTTTTTGATTGTAGATTCATTAGTAATATCTGTATATACTTATATGTTCAGATATTAACTTTGTTTTTCGAGTGTTAATCCTACTGATTATATTTATCGATTTTTGCATGCATTGAAATTTAATTTGTATATTTTCTGTTCTGTTTTAAATTGCATATATATCTCAAGTAAAGTACTTAGGGTGGCCTCTCCACAAGTTTTTTCATTTAAACTTATTTGGTTCCCTTATTGAAAATAAAATAAATAAAAAAAAATAAAAAAAAAAATACATACATACATACATACATACATACATACATACATACATACATACATACATACATACATACATACATACATACTTACATACATACATACATACATACATACATACATACATACATACATACATACATACATACATACATACATACATACATACATACATACATAAATATATACATACATACATACATACATATATACATACATAAATACATACATACAAACAAACAAACATACAAAAAGAAAATAGCGGCATGCTTGCTTTTGCAGAATACTTAAAAAACAGACATGGATGAAGCGCTGTTTGTTGATATACAACCCATTGTTTCACCATGAATGCTTGCACTCATTCACCTTTTTTCACCGCTTTTTTCAACGCATAATAATAAAATAATAATAATAACTATTATTATTATTATATCCACTATTTCTTATCTTACCAGGTGTATGCATTAATACATATTTCCATGTGTTTCTGTAGCATGGAAATTAAATTCCTAAATTTGAAAAAAAAGAGTTAGAAATTTTGCAAAAAAATAACTTACTTAATAAAAAGGGCGCTAGAAAAATGATTTATGTGCAGTAAAAAATTAAATGTGTTATTTAATTAGGTGCGAACGTAATTCTGACATTTTTGTCTTTCTCTTTCTCTCTCTCTCTCACTTTCTCTCTCCTTATCCTTTTCTGTCTGTCCATCTTTCTTTCACTCGTTTTCTTCTTTATTTTATCTCAAATTTTTTTGTATGTCTCTCATTTTTTATCTGAAACTTTTCGCTTTTTAAGAAAAATGTTTTGGTGTTAATTTTTAACATTCGACGAATGGAAAGAAGTAGACAGAGGAAAAGAGAATGATGAAAAGATAGAATAAAAGAGAACAATTACAAAACAATTAAATAAGAAAAAGTGTTAGATAACAAGAGAGAGCCGGCAAAAAGATAAAAAATTAATGTAGTAAAAAGATGAAAGAAATCGAAATCAAAGCAAAAAAGAAAAAAGATAAATATTCTGTCTATTTATCTCTTTAATCTTCTATCTATCAATCATTTAATCAATTCATCAATTCACCCATTCATCCATCCATTCTTCCATTCATTCATCCATCCATCCATCCGTCAACCCATCCATCCATCCAAGGAAGGAATGAAAATAATTCAGTGGAAATAATTGAAACGGCAATTCGATCCAACTAGTTTTCTGGCAGCTAGAAGTTAATTAATAAGAGCAGTATCAGTAGCGTATGAAGGTGAACAACTTCTCTTATGTTTACATATATGTTTGTGTTTGTTTGTTTGTATGTTTATTTGTTTGTATGTTTGTTTGTTTGTATATGTATGTATGTATATATGTATAAATGTATGTATCTATATGTATATATGGATGTGTATGTGTGCATATGAATGTATGCAATCTATGTATGACAAGATGTCTGTATTCATTGATGGATGGGTGGTTATGTAGATGAATGGATGGATGGATAGATAGACGAATGAGTGGGTAGATGGATAAATAGATAGATATATGGATGAATGGATGGATAGTTAGGTGGACAGATGGATGGATAGATAGATGGATGGGTGTGTATCAGCATGTTCACAAAAGTTTTTGATGGCTAATTTAGGATTATTCACAAGTCGATTTCGACACGTAAGCCGCTTCAGAAGAAGCGGCTTACGTGTCGAAATAATTATTATTATTTTTGTTATTTATTACAACCTGTGCCAACGGCAAGCCAGGAGAAAATATTTGAGAATGATACATACCCGATTACGAAGATAAATTTTTTTACGTCATCGTCACGTCTTCGGAATCGTCATCATCATCATCATCTTTTTCATCATCATCATCTTCTTCATCATCACCATCGTCATCATTATCAACGACAGTATCATCGTTATCAGCAGTGCCTGCCTTCTTGGTACTTGGTAATCGAAAACTCATCATCATCGTCTTCGTCATCATCGTCGTCATCATCGTCTTCATCATAATTGCGCATCGCCACTATCACCATCATAATCACCACTATTATCATTGTTATCATCGCCATGTTTTCAAATATTTGAAAGACAATTGATTCCATCTTTAATTGAAATTGTTGTTACAATCGCAAGAAAAATCTCATAACTTGTTTTGACTTTGGCAAGACTTAATTAAATTGAAACAAAAATAATGAAAAATCGTTTATTATATTCAATAATCGTAAATAATATTTTTTTATACCAACATATCGTGATAAACTTAGTAGAGTTAATAACACGAGAATTAGAAAATATAACCCTCAAGAGGAAATATAAATATTAATAAAAATTTGTATAATAATAAATAATATATATATATATATATATATATATATATATATATAGTATTAACAATAAAAATAATATCCACAACAATAATAATGATCATATTATTTAAATTATTAATATCTTTATCGTTATTAACAACTTTACTAATTATATTAACATTTAATTCTCCAACTTAACGTACGTTTTTACTGCCTTCAGCAAACCTTGACGTTCACAATCTCCTTGATCAATTTTGTTCCGGATCCGATTAGTTTTGGAATAGGGATGTCCTGCCGATAAGATTGGGTACGAGATGGTTGAGGCTCTCTAAGGATTGTGATATATTTTTTTGGGACCAAGCCCCTTTTGAGCCCAAGAGTGGCCTCGAACCAATCTTCATTGACTTGATTTAGTAGAGTTAGGTAATTGCTCTGTTGTGATGTGATGGCGTTGATTGTACAGTTGATGATGGTTGTGATGATGGTGATAATGATGATGATTGAGATAATGATAATGACAATGACATTTTTTGACTATTTTTAGTGCAAAAAACGTATGGAAGAAGAAATCGAGGAGGAAATAGCACAATTCGAAATATCAAATTTCACCGTCTATAACGTAACAAATAATAGTTCTAATATAACAAATAATATTCCTATAAATACCAATAAAAATGAAAATGTATATAAATAGATAGATAGACAGATAAATAATGTAAATAAAATGGGAAGTGAAAAAAAGAAAGAGAAAGACAGAGGAAGAGAGAGAGAGAGAGAGAGAGAGAGAGAGAGAGAGAGAGAGAAAGCGAGAGAGAGAATTAATGAAGAAAAACCGTCTTGAAGGACAACTCGGACGAGGATTGGGCAACGTAGTCATTGAGAGCTTTTCCAAGACCTCCAGTTGCATCCAAGGTTTGTCCTACCTGTCGAAGTTTATGTGGTGAATGACTGATTAGTTAATAATTTATTTACTGTTTAATTAATTTATATTATAGTTTTTTGTCCTCTGTTTTACTCTTCTTCTCTTTAATTAACTCATTTTCTTCCTTCTTTTGCTTTCTCTCTCTTCGTCAAAGTCGTTAAACAAGCACAATTAGGTTGAATAATTTTTATTTATAATTTGGGATTAGTAACATCGACATCACCTCAACGGGTTTTATGTTGCTGGTGTAACTTTTTTCATCGTAACATTCCCTGGTTTAAAAATTTAATTTGTCCATCAAAAGATTTTTTGAAAATCACCGATAAGTTATTTAAATTTTTAACGTTATACATGTATCAAATAATTTTACATAGTTCTGTTGAAAATCTGGAAAATCAAAAACAGTTTCTACCCCAGAATTAAATGAAAAATTGGCCAGACGCTAAAGATCTAGGTTCAAACGCAGACTGGATCAGATCATTCAAATTATGGGTTTTAGATCATACTTAAAACCATATACAAAAAATATTGAAATTGGCGCTATATAAATAAACCTTACGTCATTATGGATAATAACTAAATAATTATATTAACAATAATAATATTTATTATTATTTAATTGAATAATTTTCATAATAATCGGACTGAAATATTTTTTCAAACCTGAAATCATCCAGCTGACAATTGCACTGACCCACAACGCACTTGTATGCTTTATCAGTACAGTGCATCCCATTCCCAGGCAGGCTAACACCAACATTTTCCACGTGCAACTTTTTAAACTCACTCTCGAGAGAACCAAATTTGAAATCAACCGAGTTATCAAAGGCGTCAAGATGCATCTTATCAGGTTTGTTGACAAAGATTTCAACTCTCTCAACACTACCACTACCTCTACCACAAACAACAACATCATCAACGTCATTTTTTCCACCACCAATTGCTTTTTGGGTAGAGTTATTTTTATTGAATTTAATTTCTGAATTGATTTTAGCGCCAGCACATAAGTAGTTGTTTGTTGGATGGCTCTCTACCGGGGCGTTACCCTTGGCAGACCTGTTAAAGTTGATACCCACTGCTGACTGGGATGATGCGTGTCTCTTTTCGTAGGATTGAATCAAAGATTTAGAACACGTTGAAAAGGATGATGCCGATGATGATGAAGAGAAGGATGAAGATGATGAGATGAAAGATGAGGATGAATATGATGATGATTTGAAGTTTGATTTCCCGGTGATGTAGGGAGAGGCTGGAGATGATAAGGAGCCACTGTTTGCCTGTTTCCATCAATTAATTAATTTCATCATCGTCATCAATCATCTTCACAATAATTTCGAAAGCCGTCATTTGACATTTTAAACGAAAATCAATTTTTAATTTTAATATTTCCGACTTATATTAAAAAAATCTTTAAAATGACAAGAAAAAGTTTATATCGTATTAAAAATTTTGATGGAAACATTGAATCACAAGCAGCAGCGGCAGCAGCAGTCTAATGTTAACCTTTAACTGATTATCCATCCTATAGAAATTTTTACAAAACTGCGTTTATTTATTTTTGAGAAAATAAAATAAAATCTTATTTTATCATCATCGTCATCAGCATCAGCAAAAATTATCATCATCGTCATCATTACTATAAAAAAATCATTACCACCATCATCATCACCACCATCAATATTTTTTTGTAATTATTGACAGATAAAAACATATTTTATAAATGATACTTACCTGTCAGCTCCGTACGTTAATGCTTTCAAACCCGCTCCTTTGTTTAATTAAATTATAATTAAAATGTAAAAATTTTAGTTAATCATTGAGTGAAAGAATGAATGAATGAACTAGTAAGTAAAGAAATGAATGAACGAACGAATGAGTGAACGAACGAACGAACGAATGAACGAATTGATGAATGAATGAATGACTGAAAGAGCAGATTAATGAATCAACAAAATATAGACATAAGTGAATGTTAATGAGATTGGGGAAAAAAATAGCGAAACACCGTCTAAATCTTCTCTGTAAACTTTTTGAAACATGCAACTGTACCACGGCTTAGCCTCTTTCTGTGGAAATAGCATTTTTCAAGATTAATATTTTAAGAAAATATTTATTTGATTAAAATGGAAAACTGGTTAAATCTGTAAAAATAAATTAGTTTAATAAAAAATAAAAAATTAGTTAAATACGAAAGAAAATAGTTAAATACAAAAGAGAATAGTTAAATACAAAAGAGAATAGTTAAATACAAAAGAGAATAGTTAATTACGAAAGAAATTAGTTAAATAAAACAATGTCTTGGTGAGAAAAGAAGGTCTTAGCATCTAATTTAGTACCAGCAGTACAGATGCTATCACGTCACTAACCGAGGTTTTACTTAGACTGGATTGAATGTTGTCGCTAATTTTTGATTTGCTGGTGGTGTAACTTTTTGAAGTTTTGCTGTAAAATAAATAACAATAATTATAAACAAACGAATACACAATTCATTTTTATGATACCACAATGGTTTTGATGAGGAATTGACAAAAATTGTCGATGAATATAACAAGAGGTACTAACCTAATTTCAAGTTTAGTTTGACTTTTTGCATTTCTATACATTTTAATTAGTTACCTATATAATGTTACCAATATTAGTTTGGTTAAACAAGAAATTTTCCTAAAAAATCTTCCTAATTTATCTTAAATATCGAAAACTTTGTAAGATTAAAATTTATTCCTCGGGCAAATACTTTTATACGAAAATGCAACGAATGAAACTGTTTTTAAAGGATCGTGACGTGACGAGAATTAGTGTGTGATGATCTAAGTATAAAAATTACGGAATTTGAGCGCACTTAATAGTGACACACACACACACACACACACACGCACACACACACACGCACACACGCACACATAATTTTCTATATTTCTAAGCATATGTGTGAACGCGTGTATAAGAATACTAAAATTGTTTACAAACATTCATTGGAGATGAATTTTAAAGGCAACAGCCGGTTTTGATTAGATTAATTTTAATTAGATAAAAATGAATGAATGATCAAATAAACGAATGTGAATACAGGCTTTTTCATTACACACACAGCACGCACACACACAAATACCCACACAGACACACTCACACGAGAAACTAGAATCTTGACAAACTTATTGAATTTATCAGTGAGGACATAGGCTTGATTGAACATTGAATCGTGCTGGTTCGTTTTAACCATGGATATATCCGTGGTTTTAACACAAGGAGAATATTTTTAAAATAATTGGTTTGTTTACCGATTCCAAATTGAGTACTTTAACAAAACGAAATTTAATTGAATAAAATATTTTTGTGAGTTAAATGTTATTACGTCAAATCATCCTAACCATATTTGTATATTAACAATGTATTTATATAATAATAATAATTATTAATATTATTCATATAATTATTATATTTTAATAAAGGTAACGAATTAATTTCCTGTATGTATATAGAACAACTACGTAACTAACTATCATATAAATATATGTACCTCATGTACCAATATAGAACAGTAAGCCACTGTGTTTCACCGGGCAAAAAGCAATTTCTATTTTTATACTAACAAAATAATTGTGATATGATTTGTTTAAGGCATTATATGTACAAAAAACCGCTATCATGATTGGACTAAGGCATGAAAGGACTAGCTCATACAGTTGTATGAGACCCAGTAAGCCATGATTTTGGCAACCAATTTCTATGAGCACTAGAATGTAAAATTTTTATAAAATATAAGGAAAATAGTTGTTCAAATAAAAAAAAAGTTTAACATGATCGAATAAAAAAACAAAAGTTTAACATGATTGAATATGGTAAAAAAAACTGACTATGGTTTCAATCCTAGTAAGCCAACCTTTGGCTTCAGTCATCCACTGGATTTAACAGGGCAAAAAGCAATTTTTATATTCAAATTAACAAAAATAATTTAATAACACATAATTCTTTTAATAAAATTAAAAAGACTTACTACATTGTTTTAAACATAAGTCAAGTGAATATTTCATAGAGCTTGCTCTTTAAAACCCATGCAATTTCATACGTAAGCCGATAAGCCAACAATCCATGCAAGTCAAATAGCCCGACCCATTTTTATTAATCTAAAATGGAATTCAAAACTAAGGAGCGTAGAACGTTTGAAAAGGAGAATGCAAAAACTTCTAAAAAGTTAGAATCAAAATGGCGAAGTTCGAAGCAGCGGAATATTACGGAGTTTTTAGATTCGATCACACCTTGTAAAAAAGTAAAACTTGAAGATGCAGTTTTGGAAGAAAAAAAAGACAGGGTGCTCTACAATATTGAAAACATGGCGGAAGAAGAAGAAACAGCTGATCGTATTTGTGAGACCAAGAGCCCCACCATTCGTCGTAAAGATAAAAATTTGAGATTCTACAGAAACGAAATTCCGTCACAGCCTAGTGGTTAAACTAATTGATAGATTTCGTTTTTTGCTATTTTTTTTCTCTTGTATTTCTCTTATATAAATAAATAAAAATTAATATTAAATAAGGCTTTTTTTGTATATAACTTCTATTTTATCTCCTCATAGTGCTATAAGTATAATAGTAATACTAATAATAGTCTTTTCATTGTATAAATAAATAATTTGATCAAACATGCATATATTTTATTATATTGTAGGTGATTTCTTTAAGAACATCTTATCAAACTGGGCTGATGATTTTGACAAATTGGAGAGCCATCATGGTTACATACAATGGCTTTTTCCATTGACTGAACATGGGGTGAATGACCATGCCCAAACATTAACTCAACAGGAAATTAAGGTTTCATTTGTTACCTTTATTATAATATAATTATATTATTACCTCTATCATAATATTATACTTAGTAACTCTGATATAATCCATCAACAACTATATTATATAAATTTTCTAGATATTTAAAGAAAATGTTAACCTCCAGAAAATGCTTTTGAGGTCTTATAACTTGATGCTGAAGTTTTATGGCTTCAAGTTGGAGAGTGAAGAAACAGGCAAAGTATCATTACTTAGTAATTGTAATGAAAGATTTTATAATCTCTGTAGGTTTGTTCATTTCAGCATACTTACATCATATACAGTCTCTGTATAATAAATTTGATGGTTTCAGGAAAAAAATTTGTTATATGGAAATTTTTGTTGTATTAAACTTGGCTATAAGGAGGTACCACTGTATATATATATATATATATATATATATATATATATATATATATATATATATATATATATATGGGGCATTTATTTAGCAGAGATGTATGTATAAATATATTTTTGTTGAAATGATTCTACCCTGAGTTTACTTGATATATATATAACAATAGATACATAAGATTCTTAACCTCTTATTCACTGTGTTTTTTAATTTAATTAATTTTTTTCTTATCCTACTACCAGCTCGCCTCATAATTTCTTGAGGATAACTCGAATAATAAAATGCCTGTCATTGTTAGGACTCGAAAGGACCACGTACCCATTCTTATACAAATTAATACATTTATGTTTCAATGTAAAACGTGGAACTCCACTGGATGATTGTAAATGGTCCTGTGAAAAATTCTGGGTGGAAGCAGTCCTAAGTGAAGAACAGAAAATAAAATTTCGCAATTTAATAGACAAATTAAGACATTAAAAATTGTACTCGTCTATGTTTTATTTTTATCTAAAGTCATGTACAGCGTTTGATTTAGGGTTGATTTAATAACGTTTTAGCTTTCTCGTGAATGATCTCATTGTATTATATAGATAAAAAAATGTACAATGGAAAAATTTTTTAAATTACATAATAACGATAAATAAAGTTAAAGAAACAGATTTGAACAATTCACAATTCCATGTTGATGTCATTGCTGATCACGATCTCCGAGGTCAGCTGTATTGGGATCACATGAAAAATTAATCAAATTATCTAAAAATGAAAATTCTTTTTTTGAGAACATTTAAATTTGTGAAATATTAAAAAAATCATTCAAATTAGAATTTAAAATCAGATTTAGATTAAAAAACATGAATGTTGTAGGGAAGAGAGAATAAAAACTAACATCACTCTCACTGGACCCTACAACGTTAAAGTCGTCATCGTTTGAAAACAAGACAGAACCATTGAGATTGGCAAAAAGTAATTGTTGGTTGTAATAAACGGCTTCTACGTCACTGGAGAGCATTTCTAAGGACATAGAATCAGAATGATTGCTCTGTTGGTTGTAGGAATGTGATGTCAAAAGTTCGTTATTCACGTTATTGTTGACGTTACTGAATGAATTGTCGGCGCTGAGGTCGTCTGTGATGGTTTGCTCTAACTCTACGTCGATGCTGTTCGTTGTGGAGGCCATGTCAAAGAAGAATTCTTCAGGCATGTCGTCTGCTGCTGCGCTCGTTGCCATCACGGGCTGGTCCTCCTCATCGTACATCTCAAATAATCGCAAGACTGCTGTCAGGTTTTCTGAAGGATGGATTTTTAAAACAGTTTAATGAGTTTAACAAGAAAGGTTGAACTCAAAAGCTAGATTTTTGTTTGTATTAAATAACATGAAAGACAATTTTTTTAAATTCTATCCATCGCAAGTAACTTGAAAGCAAAACAATTAAAAGAAGTAAGTACCTTTAAATGTGAGGTGATTGTAGTTGGAAACCTTTCGTTTCATAGCCCACCACTTGCATCTCAGCCACTGGGGTGATCTTACACTAACCAACCAAAGAAAAGGTGCGAATATTTAAAATAATAAATAATATATTTCAAAACGGTTTCGATGTAAAAGATTTAAAATTATGAGATGAAAGATTCATAAAAATCTTTTATTTCAAAATTGATCACTATTCAATAAGAGAGAGAGAGAGAGAGAGAGAGAGAGAGAGAGAGAGAGAGAGAGAGAGAGAGAGATAATAAAGACAATCCCACCTTGGCCACTTGTAAGCTATCTGGTCCCAATTTATGTCTGCCTCTTCATTCAAATATAAACCCAACAACCTGAAAATATATCATTACATATATTGTAAGACTCATAGACTCAACTCTAAATCATTATAATTAGAAGAATAGACGCACACACACAAGCGCACAAACACAAATAAAATTATACAATACAATGGTTATAAAAATCTTGCAATCATTTAGACAGCTATTTACAACATGAAAACGCACAACTTTATAAACATGAAGAGCATTTTGCATTATTTAGTTGCAATTATTTAGACTGGAGAATGGAGCTTGAGAAATTAAGATTCAGTAAAACTATTGAGATAACCTGTTTAATAACATTTTATCATCCTGTAGAGTCCATTGCACACCCCCCCTCTGCTTCCAATTTAGATTATTCAGCCACTTGTTACGACACTGTTTGTCATTTCGACTGCCTACATATTTGGCTACCTCTGCCCAAGAGAGGCCACTCGTTATGTCCTCGCCTAGAAATGATGGTGATCACAAGTTTAGCGGCTTTTAAATTGCTGTTTTAAACGATTTAGTACTTGTTATAACTGCTAAATATTTAATTCTCAGAGATGTTAATATGAATTTGTAGTTCAAACTTGTCTATAAGTTTCGACCAACACATGATATAAAGTTATTGCAGCTAGTTTAGGAGTTTTAACTAGTTGATTTCTAATGCTACACGCTTTCTTGACACCCTTTTAATCGGATAATTTATTTCCAAAGCATCTAAACTACTTGAACATTTGATGGTGTTATGTTGATAGTGATTTAATTAAAAAATGCAAATGATTCAAATTTAGCTTATATAAAACTAAAGCTATATCTACCGCTTAAATATTTACACCCAATTAAAATTAAATATAAATGTTATAATGTTATATATGTTTTATATAAAAATATATATATATATTTATATATATATATAAATATAAATTAAATATAAATTAAATATAAAATAATTATAATTGAAAAAATAATTGAAGAATAACCTGGAGCACTTTGTGATAGCTTATAAACTATCTCACACAGCTTCAACTCTTCATCATATCCCCACTTACCTAGTTTCAATATTTTCATTAACAATTGATTTTTCCAAAAAAAAATAAGTAAATGAATATTTAATATTAAATTAACAAAATGTAATAAATAACAATTAATTTGATCACCAGCTGAAACGGAATTTCCCATCATTTAATCGACCAATGAATTAATAAATTAGCCATTTATAAAAGGTAAAAAGATGAACCAAAATACCAAATTTTTTTTGTATTCCAAGTTCATTTGAAAGAAATCAGGTAAAATCAAAATTATTCTAATTTAAAAGATACAAAACAAAATAGCGGACGTGCGTACTACACTACCTACCGTGCTTCCATTTGTTTCTACTAAGTCGACATCTATCCCTGACGGAGGAAGCACTTCTACCGATCGAATTCCCAATGGCTGTCCAATCACAGCCATACTTTTTCTGCAGTCTGTAACAAAGTAATATATATATATATATATATATAAAGAGAAAGAGAGAGAAAAAATAAACAGAGTTATTAACATAAACAAAACTGTGTAAACGTCAACATCTTAGCAGTAAGAACAACAGCTGCAGCACATACTCTTTTAATTGTACCAGTTCTTCAGGGGAATACTTGCCAATGTAATTTTTCCTATCATACATCCTAATGACTCGTCTGTAGACAGCAAACAATGGTCTCTTTAGACCATGTGCTATTTGTTTGTAGAAGTCTTTGCGATCTTTGTTGGCACTGAAGATAATTTCTGATGGGTCCTCTACATTGTGAAGCTGAAATTAGTGTAATTAATAATTGCATTTTTATACATATATATAAGTTTCTAAAGATAACAGAAGAAAAAATAGAGTTTACAAGATGGTGAATCAAGTATTTGAAATGATTTATTAAGTATATACTATATATTATGACAAAAAAATAAGTGAATAAATAGATTTTGATAAACATTTAAAAATAAAAACATTTAAAAACAAAACTAACAGAACAATAGTCATTGATGTTGTTTTGTAGTAATTGTATTTCATCTGGGTTCCATTGACCTTGTTTCCATTTATGACCTATTTAAATTTCCAAAAATTTGTTATTCGGTAAAACAAAATTTGCTCATTTTCTTAAAGAAGATAAAAATTGCATTTTAAGTTGCACTTTTAATATTACTAATCTATTCAATAATAAATAATTAACTATTTCAACCTAGAGATAACAGTAGAGTAAATAAAACATAAATTTATATATAAATAAAAATAAAGTAAAAACATTTTGATCAAAATATAAAATGAAGAGACAAAATTAAAAAATCTAACTAAAGTTAATATATGAATGTAAAAATTAAAAATGTTAATTAAAAACTTTTTATTGAAAAGTTAATGTTTGGCTTGATTGAAAAGATACTTCCCACAAGCACACTTTTAACAGGTTAAACAATCAGAGTATAAATAAAAATTTCATATTTATTTGCTTGGCATCACAGAAAAGTGTATGATTTTGATTTATAGTTTTATACTTATTGCTTATAGAATAATGTTGAGTTTTGTTTAACAATAAAATATAAATGATGACAACCACAACCACCATTAGTTATGAGAGCCATTTTGTCACATTTAGAGATAAACCAGGCTTGTGTTATCAGATCAGCAGAGTCGTCGGGGCATTCCTCTTCTGGCCTTTCACAATTGTACGTCATCGCACTGCAAGTGATACTGTTACTACTGCAACCAGTACTGCTACTACTGTTGTACTTGTTTTCAAATGATTCTTCTGTGGTGAAAATAAACCAAAAATTATTATCATTATTACAACAGTTGCTACTTATAAAATAAAACTTTAATTTTTAAAAATTGAAATCAAAAATATAAATTAATATAAGAAATATAATTAAAACATAAGATTACCTAAAACCGAACAATCATTTTCGTCAGCCATTTGTTTACACTAAAAGTAAACTTCAAAATTGTTTTAAGTTGAGATTTGAGAATGGACTTAAAATAAAACAAATACCCGGTTTCTCGGTATATTTTCACGTTTTGTATAATACCTAGCAGGCATTTTGCTTTCAAATATGTTTTACATTGGAAAAGTTGTTGAATAATTTAACAAATTGTAAAAGTAAAAATCAACTCAATGCAAAATATAATGCAATGGAATATATACTATAAATTGATATAACTATATAATACAGAAAAAAAACGAAATTCTCCGATCGGCTGGTTGGATATGAAACTTTCTGGTAGTTTTTCATTAGATTTAAATGGAATCTAATCTTGCAAGCTTAAAAAAGTACAATTTGATGAATAATTAATAGCGTTTAAAGTCTGTATAATTAATAGCGTATACTAGATATATTATATTTACATAACATGGACATGATAGTAATTCATGTCTTTCAGTTAGTTTGCTACCTATATAGCGGTTTTTTCGGTATGAATACCGATTCGACAAGTTAATACATGTTTCTTGTAAAAAGTTGGCAAATTTAAAAGTTGTTTGTTTTTATGAGTTTCGTTTCGTTTCGGACTTTTTATAATTAAATGAAGTTTTCAGTTTATTTTTTTTGCTAGTAAGATGGTATTATATAAACTGAGTCCGAATGAAGAAGATAGAATCATAAAAGAAGAAAGAAATAAAAGGAGACTTTTGAGAATCAAAGAGGTCTTTTTGTTTTTGTATTTTTAATTTTGATTAATTACTAATAATTAATTAAATTAATTATTAAATTAAATAAAAATTGACGTAGTTAATTTTATATTTTAACGAAATGAATTTTAATTGGCGATCATAGCTTTTCAATTTTCTTATTCAAAATAATGAAAGGTTCGTAACCAAGCCAATGCTCAATCTGCCAGGCTTAGAAATGCAGTTGAAACTGAGAAAAAAAAAGTGACTAACACCCACCTTGAATATCTGAAAGTAGGTCTTTTTTGTCTAGTTTTTTCCACACACTTACACACACATCATTTCAATATTATATATAATATAAAAAAACCAGTTAACTGTTTAAATGTTTTATCATGTTAGCCACAATGGCAAAAAGAGCACCAAGAGAAAATAATCAAATTAGAAGAAAATTTGAAAACAAATTTGATTGAGATTGGACAGAGTCATCGAAATGCTGATGAGAAAATTAATGTAAGTGATGCAATCTAATTAATTATTTCTGAAATTTGCAGTACCATTAAATAATAATAATTATTTTTTTATTAAACAACTTTTTAAACAATAAACATTACTTTTTCACTAATATAATCTTTTGTTAATTCTAGGAGAAAATTGATGAAAAGAAAAAATTAAAAGATTTTGAAAATCAGAAGCTTGCCATCAAAAGACATAAGATAGCTATTGGTGCACTTAATACTTTGAATGTTGACAGAAGCAATAAGGCCAACCAGCAGATACTAGACAGGTTAATATGATTAGTTACAAAATTTAATCACAATTCATTATATTTATTTAAAAAACCTCTGTTTACAGTTATATCACCAAACGAGCACAACTGAGGTTATGCAGTGCTCACATGTTTTAATAGCCTTTTTTTAAAACTACTTTTATTAAGCAGTTGTGATTTGTTAGATATCTGGGGTTTTTCTTGTTCCAAAGACATTGCTTTTTTGCTATACCTTTGAGTTTTGTGACTGCCAAATGTTTGATTGTATTATTCTTAAAAACGTTTTTTATTAAAATGGTTTTTTAATTTTTCAATTCATCAGATGGAATGCACTTGATGCTGAAAAATCTCGATCGAAAAAAGTAATAAGTCAGCCCAAGAAACGACCACCACGACCGGTTAACATTTTGAATCTGGAAGGGATAAGTATGTGACATAGTATTTTTCAGTTTTGTGTTTTTTACTGGGGTTTTATAGCAGTAAAACTTGTTTCGTTCTATTAAATTGTTCAATTTTTCTCACTCCATAAGAATTATGGTATTCAATTTTATTGAAATGATTTTATATATTTATAAAAAAGTTTATTACCATTTTGCAGTCTAATAATTTCATTTTAATTAATTATTCATTATTTATAATTTAATTTTAATTAAGGTGAAATTGATAGCCTGCCAAGAGTGTTCAGACATGATAGGGGAAATGTTACAACTGATGAATTGGTAGCAAGCAGAACAGAAGAGCAAGAAGATAGTGGTGTTGTTCAAGGTTCTTATTCTCTTCCTTCTCACCCTTTTTTTGATACTAAATTTCTAATGTAGTGAAATTACTTTACTGATTAGTAGAATATTTTACTAATGCAGTAAGATAGTTTTATTTTGATGATACGAATAAATAGAGGTCGCTGTAATTTTTTCTCGAAGGTGCTGGCCCTTATATTGAAAGTCATAATGAGGAAAATGATGATGCTTGTAATGTTGCTTTAGATTCCACTGAGAAATCAAAGGTTAATAATAAAATTGGGTTTAATTTGACTGGATGTGACTTTTGAATAAAAATGTTAATCATTTTTATAAATAATTAAATTCATTTTAACTAAATTTCTCTCAGATTATTGAAGCTATTGGGAGAGAAAAGTTTATCAGAGTAGATGCTAATAATGTAGATGAATTTAAGGATAGTGGTTTTAGAACCCTTGAAAAGATTGATGAGGAATATGGAGAGAATGATGAAGGTAATGATGGTGGTGAAGATACATTTGTTGATGGAACCATTCCTACAGCTGAAGTTGACATTGATGATGATAAAATAGAATTTGTTGCAGAAAAGTTGGCTGATATGCAACAAAATGCTGGAACAAAAATTGATGCAAATTTTGTTGTTCCCACACAAGAAACCTTATCAAGAGGCGTTGATAGTGCTGCCAACAAAAATGTTGTGAAAAAAGTTGATGCTTCCTCGTCAACCACAGCCACAACGCAGACCAACAAAAAGTGTGCAACAAAACAGACAGATCAACAAACAACCCCAATAGTGAAATGCACAATATCCCCACAACACTTGAACAAACTGCATGATAAAATTGCACAGCAAAGAGAGATTTGGTTGTTGCAATCGTCGACAACATCAAAGCCGACAACAACAACAACTGCAACACATTCTGCTAAGTTTCTGCAACAGCAAAATTCCGAACAACAGAAGCAAGATCAAAATGATGAGACACTTGAAGCCATCACACCTGACAAGAGACCAACTCCTCTCATGGATACATGTTATATACTTTCATATATTTGAACTAGGGATGCACCGGATTCAGGTTTCTCAAATCTTGGCCGGATTTAAAATTCAAAAACCGGCCGGGGCCGGGTTTTAGTTACCATTTTACATACGTTAAAAAAAATACTTACATTTACGGTTATCTACATGTTGAACATCAAAAAATAACACCAAGCAAATAGTTATTTAATTCAAATATATGAATAAGTTGTGTGATACGCCAAATTCTGTACACAAAGATTAGCTTATAATTTATGCATATTTGCATAACCCATGTTAAAGCACAAAGAAAATTGTCCAGCTCACCGCACAATTAGTGATGTTGTAATTATGTGTCATGTATACCTAGCCTAACCTTTAACATACCATATTCTTAAATTATGTGCTTATGTATCTCTCTCTAAATATATATGTATATATATATATATATATATATATATATATATATATGTTATGTGGCTATATGATCCGTCATGTGCAATTATCAATATATAGTATATACACGTGCACAAGTTCTTTTATACAAAGATCAGCTTATAATTTATGCATAACCCATGTTATAGCATAAAGAAAATTGTCCAGATCACCTCACAATTAGTGATGTTGTTATTATGTGTCATGTATGCCTTTCGCTTAGCCTTAGCCTTTAACTTATTGACATAAAATTAATTGAATTCAATAAAATTTTTTTGTCTATTTATAACATTTTTAAAAGTTGATAGACGCTTAAATCCGGCTCTAAATTCGGCCACCAAATCCGGCCGGGGCCGGATTCGAAAAAAAAGCCGGATTTTGGCCGGGGCCGGACTTCGGTGCATCCCTAATTTGAACACACAAATATTTTGTCATTTATTTAATACATTCAAATATACATACATGCACACATACATACATTTAAATAAATAGCTAAAACTAACAATTTCACAATCAAACATTAACCAGTTTTTAACATTGCCAGCCTGTTTCTTCTTTAATGCAATATGTTGAAATAATTTTTTACTTCTTTTTCTAACTTTAGTGTCGTCGTCAGCATTATCGAGCAACAACTCCTACATCCCAAGTTTCAGAAAACTTCCAAACGGAGGAGCATCATATTCGTCATCATTTGATTCCATGTTGGATCCGAATGATGCCTCCATCTCTCAACGTGGTTCGTGTGTTACTACAGCCTTTCCACCTTCCTACCTACTTACATCACTTCACTACCTACCTATTGTTTGTTTGACAGTGTATATCACTATTTCAATTATTATGTTTGTAAACTCTGTTCATTGCAACTGTTATCTTCAATAATTTACTACGTTAAACTTTCATTTTGGCCATCTATCTGAAGCTTTATTGTTTTATTACATTTGGCTTAGTTGTTTTAACGCTTAGTCATTTATAATCCAATGCAGCCCCCTCAAGTTCAATGGATAGTACGTTGTCATCACTGTCGTCAACATTGGCTAGCGTGACTTCAACTGATGATTCCATGAATGGAACTCTTCAGATTGAGTTTGTATATTTTTTTTTCCGCTTAAATTTATTTAAACAATACTTTAAATTGTAAGATAAATTTTATAACAAAATTAATGTTTCTGAATTGTAAAAGAATTATTCAGCATCACTTCAAGATATCTCACTTATATTTGTTTATATCCAATATCAGGAGGCAGAAGTTGGAATTGCTAAAGCTGCTCATGGAAATAGAAGAACAGAAAAGATTCCTGGAGAGTCAAGTCAACATCGAAATCGATGAAGACACCAGTAAGGTTGATCAGAATTTTGTTTCACTGGTAGAAGCAACACAACCAATCACAGATGAGATACTTTATAATGGACAGCCAATCAAAAAAGAGCAATTTCACCAGCCAACCAATCATTTGATGTTACCAATGTTCAATCCAGATAGTACAACCAGTCTGTCTGCATTCCTTCAAGACACCTCTTCATCCGACCAATCACACCACTCAAAAATGAACCAGCAACAGCAACTACCTCCATCACCAACTACAAACCAGCAGCACGACAGCCTACCTTTTTCTTCATTCGAAACCTCTACCCAGTACCTCGACTTGCCTGACACAACAAAAGCAGAATCTTCGGACGTTGTGAACAACAACGACGACAGCAGCATTCCAATTGTTTTGAATTCATTCAGCAAATCAGGCAGCACCATCTATTTGGACTTGCCACTTGCAGATAGCCCGAAAGATCATGTAGACAACAAAAAAATTAACGCAATGAAGACGTTAGAAGACAACATCACAATAACAAGTTCCCTTGATAGCTTTATGAAACATGAAGCTTCTTTCATAATGAATACTGATAACTCGAGCAATGAAACCAGCCTATCAACATCCAAGTTAAACACTGTACAATATAATAACCAATTAAACGTTAATGATCATTCTGAAAAGCAGCCATGTACTCAACAAATTGTTACCAGCTCTGATAAAGATGACATCGTAGAAAAAAATAACTGGCAAAAATTAAATTTAAAAAATATTTCAGATGAAGAACGCCATTCAAACATTATTTCCAATGACAAAGATAACAATGCAACTGCAGTTGACAGTAACCATAACAACAACAAAGCAACATCTTCAAGTGAAAACTCAGATAACGTGATTAATGACCTGTCAACGCTTTCTCAAGATTCATTGAGTAGAGATATAACAGAGCGAATGAATAAAATGCTAGAAAACATGAGGAAAGACTGCCAGGAGTATGAATGCAACAAAGCTGTCGCACAAGTAACATCAACAACGCAATCAAACAACTGCAACAGTCAGTTGATTGCAACTCAGTTGAATGTTATGAGCAGTGATAACGACAATGGTAACATCAAAAACATTAAAAGTTTCAGCACCATCGAAGATGCTTACTGTTCATACTTGGACCCAAGCTTCTTATCATTAGACTTTCAAAATCCAGAAGCTGAAAGCAGTAGGATCACATCACGAGAGGAAAGTAGCAGTAATTCTACAAAACCGTCTGAGTTACTGAGACAGAGAGTTAAAGAACTGCTAAACATCCACTCTGAAATACCTCTTCCTTTTGATTCAACACGTGCTTCCAACGTGCCAGTAACTGAGCAAATAGGCAGTAAGTGTGCGTACGACTCCAGCGATAGTAGTCAAAACATTAATAACAATAGCAACAGCAAAAGTAGCGGTAGTGAAAGAAATTATAACAACTATAATAATAATGACGTCAGTTCCTCAAATAACTTTGATTTGTCTAAATCTGGTCCACAGTCAACTATTCAATCGATGTTACCCAATTGGGCAGACATTTTGAAACCATACAAAAAGTTAATATTTTTGAAATTGTAAAATTATAACGCTCATTTTCAAAAAGTTAATATTTTTTGAACTTGTAACATATTTTCATTTTATTTTTAATAAGAAAGTATTACGTTCACCACATTTAGAAACAAACGTCGTATTGTAATTTCAATTAAACTGCTTATCCTTTGCAAGTTCCAAGGAAAATAACGAAGAAAACAAGGACGAGCCTTACACTAGAAAAAATAAAAAAACAAGAAAATTCAGAGTTGACCAACTAAACTCAAACTCCTCGTCACTGTCGTCGTCACTATCGATCTCAGACATACTAAACAATCAGGTACATTTCATACATTTACAGATGATATCACAATGAAGTAACCACACAGCCCATTTTTACATTTTAAATTTTGAAAAAGTCAACGCACAAGTGTTTGTATTTAAAATTTGTTTTTGCTTAATTGTCATATGTACAAATGCTTGTTTTTAAAGTTTTGTTTTTGCAATAATTATCATGAATCGTCTTGAAAGGGAGAAGTCACAGGCATCTTAGAAGAACCGGACATCAGTTTAGTCAGCACCAGTTCAACATCATCATCTGTCTCATTTTTTGTCAGAGTTCTCAACAATCAAGAAAAGTCTGATAACGCAGCACCAGAAGCATCCATATCACTACTGTCATTTGAGAAACACGAACTCAGTGCTTTAGAGCGATCAGGATCATCTTTTCTTAGCTCTAATTCAAGTAATGCCGATAAAATTTTCGCTTGATTTATGGGTGTTTTTTGAAATTGTTAAAACTTGTAAATAACTGTTCAATTTGTAGCTGTTCAAGAACCTCCAACAGCAGCGTCGCATGCTGTCAGCAAGGAAGACCTGGAAAACCTGAAAAGGACCATAAACTCTTGGAAAACGTCAAGAACTAAAACAAATCCAGGAAACGGCTTTCACTTATAACTGAAAGCATCTTCAAATCTTCAATTACTTTTCTTGACAGTTATCATTTCAAAAAATTTCTTGTAAATTGTCTTATCATTTTATAACACTGAATATTTGTTCAACCGAAAAATCACAAAATCCGTAGCAGCATACTTCAAGAAATAGATTGAATTACAAGGTCGAGTCATATAACTATACTAAAACTTGAAATATGTACCATGAAAATGATTCATATTTAACTTTGTTAAATGCCAATTTCCTAAAGATGTTTGTTTGTAAATGGAAATAAATTAGCTTTAGAATAAATCTTGTTTTTAATTGAAAATTTAGATTGAGATTATCTTCGGGTTTAATTTAAAAAATTAAAGTGACAGCCGTCTTCTTGCATTTAAGCAGTGCCTCCAAAACATCAGCCCGCTGACAAACACGCAGATCAACATTATCATAACTATCAGTTTTATTCATATTGAGTTGACTGTACTTCAGATTTATATTGCAAATCATAACTGCTAGATATTAAATGACCAAACGTCTTTTAAAAAAACTGAAGCTACTCTGAATTTTAATTTCTTTAAAATAGTCGGGCGTTTTTTAATGAATCCCCGAGGATCTACGTCTTTGACTACATCCAAACTGTTTAGTACATCACAAGGGTGGCAACATCAAATTTAAAACAAAATTTTACGACTTCAGCTTTAACTAAAAACATCTTATGACAACTAGAACGCACTTCTTCATTGAATGTAGGCAAAATTTGTTGATCTCTCACAGAGAAGAGATTAAGTAGTAATTCAACAGTTTCTACTGAGCTATTTTGAAGATTTTTATCGAAGATTGAGTTTTAAACACGTGCAAGCTTGTTTTCAACATTTTTAAAAAGTTTTCAATCATTAATCATCTTTAATCCTTAGGAGTTTCTTAAAGCTAACGGTGTTCACGAAAAATTTGACAGCTTCAGGTTTTATTTTTAATCACACAACTAAGCAATTGCAAAACATGATTTTTGCAGCTAATTTTTCATTCTCATATCTCCTCTTAATCTGTTGTCATGTTTTTCAGATTCTTTATAATCTCAGGATAGCAGATCCTACTAAAATCATTCTCTTGTTTTTTAAGATTTTGTTTTCATTCTCTTGTTTTTTTGATCAAGCATCAAAGTTTTTCGATTCCACTCACAAAATATTCAAATTTTTTAACTGTCTACATCAACAACTTTGCAGTGAACAGATAGTTAATGGCCATATTTCTTGATTGAATGCATGACTTTCAGCATTTTGTTCCTGTTTTAGAGATAGAGATTGATCTAATATGAAACTGAAGCAAATTGGAGATTTAATGCACCTTGTCCAACAATCTTATTTTGAATTCAATTAACTTGTTAATTTGTTAAATATGTTTGACATTGGATTCCATTTCTCCAGCATAATTCAAGCCTATGCTTTCTGAATTTTATCACAGACTAGAAGAAGCCTAAGTAGATGAATAAACTGAAGTTCTTTATCATCTGTCCAATAACAAAAACTTCACCAGGTAACTGATACTGACTTGTTTCTGAAAACATATCCACCGTTGTTAGCATGAATGAATTTTATTCAGATGAACATTCCTTAGAGTATGTTTTTTGTACTGCTTTCTTTGATAACATTTTTTCTTCTTCTTTTCCTTGAATGATGTTTCCTCCATTCATCTTCAATTTGAGCAGTTTAGTAATTTTGAAATGTTGAATCTTGAAGCAGCTTAGTTGTTGTCTGGTATTGGGTCTATTTTGTCTAAATTAGCAACATTTTGAACCTTTTCCATAGTCATTAACAGTTGTCAAAACAATTTCTAAGAGGAAAAAATGAACACCCATATTAAAAAGAACCTATTTGAGTAATAAATTTCACATGCCAGCTGTATTACACCAGTTTAAAAACTTGCAATTATGTAGAAGCGTTTTGAACGAGTTAAACTGCTATTCTTTGGAATCAATAAACAACTGATCAATTTATTTTAAATTTATAATAAAAATAAAAAAAGAAATTCTTCCAGACATCAAATCTTTGGGTGAGTCATCATTTTACCTAACAGTTGAACAAAATAATCCTTTTCGACTTCATTAATTTAAATTTTAAACTGTTTCATGTTAAACACTAGTGTATTTCAAGAAAACCACTGTACATTTTTTTATTGACACTCCTTTGAATCATTTAAAATCTTCTGGAAGCAGCTGTTGACCTTGGTGCTGGTGATCTTCTGGCTTCATACGCATCTACTGATGATTTAATTCTTTTTGGTGGAGGACTGACTGATCTCATTGCTTGTCTTCTTACGGCAGAACCACTGGACATTTGATAGTCTCTAGCAACAGCTCTAGGGGGTGGAGAAGCACCCCTGGGCCCAGTAGCATAACCTGAACTTACTCTACCACTTCCAGAATAAGAGCCTGAAATTTTTTGTTGAAAAATTGATTTTGTTAAATTAGAAAATGTTGATTGAATGATGGTAGGATGCAAATGAGGATTTTATACAATAAATTATTTTTTCAGCACTGAACAATTTTTGCACTAGACTTTAAAATTTTCCTTATTTTGAAACTATCAAAATCAAATCCATGAAGCTTGTTATATATATTGAAAACATTTGCTTCGTTTTTTAAGCCTTGGCAAGTTTGAACATGATTAGCTAAGCATAGCATGGCATTTTGTACCATCCATTGATATCAATGCATATCCAACTGCATCTAATAATTTTGATATCATCGAATGGTGGCAAATCTAATTTTTTCAGTCCTGAACAGAATTCTGAGATATTAATTTTCATTTTCTACTAAGGACATGTTGTCATGCTTTTTCATTCTGATAAAATTAGACCCAATGGTATCAATGAATTATTCAACGTATTCATCAACCGCCAGAAACCAGAGATGAATTATATGATCTCTCACCTCTTTGAAATTTACTACTTTCTGATGATTTATAAGGAAAACTTTCATGTTTAGATGTTATTTCTAGATAAAATAATATAAAAAGAACTATTAGTTGAAATTTAACAATGTTATCTTAATAAACTCCAAAATAAATTCTAACCATAAGATCTTGGAATTTCATATTCACGTCTAGATGGAACTGGAGAAAATCTTCCATTGCCAGCAGGATAATCATAATATTCCCTGTAAAAATGTACTTAAAACTAAAATACCATTCAACTAAACATACAAAAGTTTTAGAAAAAATATATTGAAAAAACAAAGATAACCACCTAGGTGGAAAACTAGCATACCCTCTTGGTGCAGTCTCATACTCCCTTCTAGCTGTTGGAGGAGAATAATCGTGACGAGTTCTTGGAGCTCTGAAATCACTTGCTTCGTAGCGGGGCCTGTCAAATTTACTTTAGACTATAACATAAAAATCTAAAAATTCATCAAAAAAATTATAAAGAACAAAGACTACTACTTGAAAACTTAAAAATTCATCAATGAAACAACTTGTCAAACCTGGCATAGTCGACGACCACACCTTTAGGATAACTTTCATACCCATCTCTGTAATAACGACTATCTCTGGCACTGATAGCTTCCCCGTAATACTTGTCGGCTCTCGATGGCAAAGGTAAAGGAGATACCCTAGACCTGTATTCATATTCTCTAACAGGAGATGGAGCCCTTCCACGACTCCCTCTTGGGGTAAATGGACGTCTGTAATTTCTTGGAAAACTTCTGTCATCTCTGGAACTTAACTGGCGTGATCTATAATCATAATCTCTCCCAACTGGTGGACTGTGACCCCCTCTGCAAATTTTCAAGTATAATAATTATATGAAAATAATTTACAAATTATTTCGCGTTAAAAATTCAAATAATTTAAAAAAATATTCAAAATCATTTTACTTTAAAAAATTATCTACCTGCTTGAAAAACCTCCTCTCCCTCTTGAACCTCTAAAGCCCCTGGAACCTCCTCCTCTTGGCTTTGCTGACTTTTCAACATGCAATGGTTTTCCGTGAAAATCCTAAAAATAAATCCAATGATTAAATATTTTATTAAATTTTTAAACTTATCTTTTAGAAACAGAATATGTATTATGAAAATTAATTTACCTTTCCATTCAGCGTTTTACAGGCATTTTCACAATCCTTACTATTTTCAAAAGTCACAAAGGCAAAGCCTCTGGGCAGTTTTGTTTCAAAATCTCGAGCTAAATAAACTGAAAACACGATTAAATATTACATTAAATTAACGATGATTAGATTTAGGTTAAAACAATCGATAAAAATATTTATTACCTTCGGTAACTCTTCCATATTTTGAAAAATAACTGGTAATCATGCTCTCGTCCACATCTTCAGTTAATCCTCTAACAAAAGCTTTGTTTTCTTCCAAAGTTGGACTCGGAGAACGACCCATTTTTAGCTAGATCAACTAATAAATCTACTAAAACTTTAAAAATTAAAATAATTTGAAGAACGCTTAAGATTCAATTTTATTAACAGATTAAATCAACAAAATTGGCGATGGCCGGCGCAAAACTCAATTGTAAAAGATGGACGACGAGGTAAGGATATTTATAACCTACTGGAACATAGAAGCATAGAAAGTATAGAAACGCTTGTTAATATTTTGAAGTTAACATTTTACGATCCATATTTTTTTTTTAAAGTTACATCAAATAATAAAACGCTGTTTCTATATGATTTCAGAATAGTTTTGTAGAATTTTACTTTAACGTACACAAATGTTCAACATTCGAAATCACAAGACCTATATATACTTAGATATATTCATAAAACGCAAAATATCGATATTTTATTGTGGAGATTTGATAAAAATGTAATTTTTTTTGTCAAAACCTGTTTTTCAAACGATTAATCAGCATTAAAATAGGTATTAAATGAAACTGTATATCAATAATTATCCACAATTTTACAGGATGGATTGAAAATATTAAATATTTTTCTTGCGTCTTTTTTTAGTTGGAAGATCGTCTTCATTTTCATTGTCACCAGTTTCTGTTAAAATCATTTTTATTGAATGTTTAAAGTGTAATTAGTTTAAAAATTGAGCTAAACAATACGTGCATGCATGCATCATGCATACGGCAAATATATACATTACATATTTAGGCAATAATTCTTCTAAAAACGTGTAATATATAAAGATTATATTTATATACTTATAATAAATAAATAATTTAACATAAGTATATGCAATGGTAAAACGCAATGTTATACATGGTCGAACCTTCAACTTTCAATGTTTTGGCATCACCTTCCCCGACGTCCATAAAACTCGTAAGGACGTTGTTGATTTCATTTTTCATCTCAATTACCGTTTTCGAAATAGATTTCACATCTTTCGGATTCTCAGCACAAAGTTTGAAACTTTTTACATTATTATTACTTAATTTTAGTTCAACTTCTACGCTCATTTTGAAAATAACGCAACTTCTGTACAATGGAATTGCAAACCTACTTATTGATCCACCAGTGTATCAGCAAACCGTTCATTCACCGAATCATTCTAGGCCACAAATTAATGCTATAACGCTTAATTTATGTATTTTAATATTTGTCATTTTTTTTTCATCGTTATTTTCATCTTCGTTCTCATAATAATAATAAATAAATGCTTTGTTTTTTAGACTGTGTAATATTAGTAATATTAACAACGTTAGCAATGTTATTAATTAACTTCATGAATGATAAATATGTTAGATGCTATATAACAGCATAAAAATAGATGTTAGAATATGTAAGTACATTTACTGTTTTTACTTTTTGTATTTATAGTAAAAATGATTGATTGAATCATATAATTTTAATGTTGTATATATAATAATAATCATAATGTGTGTGTTTGCTTTTGCTTATTTTGTGACTGCTTAATTAATGTGTGTAATATGGCATGCTAACATTTTTTATAATTAATTTTTTTGCACAAAACCACAGATGGAAAAAAACAAAGATGAATTGAACAAATGTTTAGAAAAGATAACTTTTGAAATTTTTGACACAATCAATAAAATTTTTGAAAAGAGAAATAGTTTGGATTCTTCAATGAAGAGTGGATTCTTGAATATCTCAAAAGTAATTAATTATTTTTCTTCTGTGCATTTACCATCCTATATTATTGTTATTCAATAAATTCAATTCAACTGCTTAATTTAGATATTTTTTATATTTCTTTTGTTTTACATTTTATAACATTTTTAGTTATTATTTTTTGAAATATTTTTAACAATTCTGCAGGCTAGATACTCAATGGGTGTCAATTCAGTTTCATCTTTGATGTACAATCTCAAGGAAGACACAACAGCGAAGTATAAAATAACTATAGAAGAAAATGAAAATGATGAGAATTCGGTGGAATTATATAAATTCAATATTTGTGATTCCTTAGATGATTCATTATGCACAGCTTTCAGCAAATTAGATTTAGAAGATAGTGAACTGAGACAACGAAAGATTATAGATCCTAAAGATAAAATTGATGATTTCAATAAAGAAAATATTCTAGTATGTAGTGAAGAGTTGAATATTCAACCGGCAAAAAAGCTTGTTTCTATGAACGATCCATTAATTTGGTTTGGAGTGCTAGTACCACAGAATTTAAAACAATCTCAAAAGTTTTTTGAAAATGCTGTGAAAGACGTATCTGAATTAGCTGAATTACAAACACGTTTAAGTCATCTGCAAAAAACTTACAAGTCAAAACTTGCAGAAAAATCTCTTTAATTTATACAATCATTCCATTTATATTATGTTTAATTTATTTTATATCATGCGTTCAATAAATATTTTTTTCATGTAACTTGTACTGCGTTCGATACATATAGAATAAATTTTAACTGATGTATTAGGCGTGAACCTACCATAGCCTGAGTTTATTTGATAAAGACCGAAAGTGAAAATAGAATGCGTTATCGCCCATCCCTCTGATGTCACAAGTACTTGTTCAGTTAAAGTGTAAACTTTTGCAAAACTTTTTTCAGCTAAATGCTGAAAACGAAAATAATTTTGAGCTGTCGATTTGTTTTATAAATCGTGATAATCGAAATTTAAATTTAGTTATTTATGATGTTAATCGTTAAAAAAGTTATTAAAACAAATGATTGTTATGTTCTTGACTTCTTGTGTTGTGAAGATTGAAAGTGAAAATGAAAAAAAATTTATTTAATAATTTAAAAATTAAAATAAATAAATAATATTATTTTTATAAGTAGAATAATTAAATAAAATGGTTGGTTTTTTTTTTATTAAATATAAAATATATCTAAACCTGGTTTTGTTATGTTATAAATAAAGAGTCATAACTCATAAGTGATAAGTCATATTCAATATATTATATAAATATTCAATATTGTTTCAATGTGCTGTCAATTTTTTCAATACTATGTTATGTCCCAAATTTGAATATTTTAATATTAATAACTAATGTGTGTGATCTGTGATGTGAGTGTAATTAAGTTGGAGAAATATAATGTGTATTGTATATGTATGTGTGAGTATGATGATGATGATTATGCTGAAATGAAATAAGTGAAATACTGTTATTTATATTTATATAATATACTAATAGAGATTAAATTTAAAATGAAAAAAATATGGCAAAGTAAAGTGAAAATAATTTGAAAAAAATGTGATATTCATTATGTTTCTATCATACTAATACATTTTTGTATTTGTATTTTGTGTTAAGCCAGAACAGAAACCACTTCTAACCAGCCAACCTCATATAAAATAAAATTAGTATTAAACATCACATCACCATGTCTGATCATCAGTTTTACTCACAACAAAGTTCAGATTCAGGTATTGTAGTTATTTTTATCTTTAGTTATGTATTATAATTTATTTGAATTATTTTTAAAAAAATATCAATTTGTTCAAAGATCAAATGAGAAAAATTATGTAATACCTTATTTAACTCATTGAATTGAATAAATAAAAATAATACTGAATGGTTAGCTGAACTGAAATTCTAGCTGGTTATCAAAATATAACTACAGTAATACTGGTAATTATAATATATTTAATATATATTTGATTAAATAACAATTACCCAATACAACCACATTAAAGAGTATGATAGCCTCAGCTATCAGTCCTGTCATGAAAATGTAACACTGCTGAAGGCTGAGCTGAAAGCATCTGTGAAGGATTGTGAGATTTTGAAGAAAGAAGTCAGTTTGTTGAAGCTTTAAAACATTTGCTGTTAGATACTGGAATGAAAATTTTCCTTCTCTTCTCTCTTTCCGTTTCTGTCTGTCTGTCTGTCTCTTTCTCTCCCTTTATATACATTAAATAACGTTTTACCTAAGCTTATTACATTTATACTTGATTTAAAATGTTATATAACTTTTTAAAATTTCCAGATTTTAAAATTGAAAAAAGAAACTCGTGATATTGTAGGTGGTGGTAAGAGGGTTACTAAAGATGCTGAAACTTTGACTAAGTTCACTTTTAAAACGGTTATTAATTTATGGTTCATCTACTAGCCAACTATTTATTTAATCTACTACTTCAGCAAGGAATCTCTCATTCCAGCGAATCATTTTTTCAACCAAATAATCAAACAACAATTCGTTCATTCAATTAATCATTCAGCCTGCTGATCAAACTAACAAATCTATAAATTTCATTTTTTCCACTCCTATACCTTTTAGGAAATGTTCAGTCACATTTTTTCAAATGTAATAATAAATTTTGAAATTAAAATTATTAAATTTGAAAGGAGTTACAGTACAAAACGACGTTGAAAAATTTCAACAAACAATTGCAAGTGGCATGCGAAACAATTGACTGCTTAAAGGTGAACCTAGATGAATTGAAATCAGATAAACAAGCCTTAGAGATACAACTACAACAGATGAGGATGAAAAAATCATTAAAAGACGTTGCCACATCGACAACGACAACAAACTTTGACAACATCAACAACGACATCAACGTTGCTGCCAGCAGCTTTGTATATGCTGAGTCAGCTGCTTCATTTGCTGCTGTTGCTGCTGATAATGATGATAATGATAATGACCATGTTAATAACAATAATAATAACAATAATAATGATAATAAGGAAGGTCATGATGATTTTGTTTTTTCTGGGCTTTTGAAGAATGTTTATAATGATCAAGATATTAATGATATAAATAATGATAACAGCAACAATGATAATAACAACACCAACAACAACAATAATAATTATAGTAATAATAATATATATACCAGCACTGATAATAATAGTAAGAAGAATAATAATGGTGGCGATGATGATGGCAGAGAGATGATTAAATATTTCGTAGATGGTAAGAACATGAATGTCCTTGAAAGTGAAAAGTTAGCTGGAAATGTGGGTGATGTTGGAAATGTTGTAGAGAGTAACCAAGTTAATTCTACTTCATATGATGATGATGGTGATGATGGTAATGGTGGTCATTATCATCAACGGCAGAGACAACATCAACAACATCATCAACCACAACATCAATTTCAACAACTACAAAAACAACAACAAATTTATCATCTACGCCACCAGCAGCTACAGCAGCAACAACAACAACTTCAACAGGCAGAAGAAATGATCTCAACATTGACAGAAACGTTAAAAGTCGTCGAGTTAAAATTCAACGAACTTACAACAAAACACCAACACCTCTCCAACAAATACCACAACACGTGCAAAGATAATAAGTTAATACAGCAACAACTGATCAGCAGATTGGAGGATAGTGAAATGGAGCTGATGAGATCTGTGCAAGAAAAAAATTTCTTCCAAGAACATGTTAACAAGGTTGTTGTTGTTGATGTTGTCGTCGGTGGTATTGTCATTGTTAATGTTGTTGTGGCTGATTTTGGCGTTGTTGTTTGGTGTAATTTTCTATGTGGATTTCTGTAAATATTGTGGTTTACGATTTTATCATCAGTGTCCTTGGTGTTGTATGTTGTTACGAAGCATAGTAACACAAGCAACACTTATACATTAATCTTCTAACCAATACAATGGTACATTTATACAGTGCCTTGCACATACAATGCAATGATAATGCAATGATTCATTTCATGCATAAACTAAAACAATGACTCATCATCAATACAGTATTGATACTCACATACATTTACATGGTAATACACACATACATCCCCTACACTTGAACACTCACACGCACACACATACACACACACATACACACAAACAAACATTTACACGCACACGCACACTAACTCAACAATAAATACTAACCGCTTGAAACTACAGGAAGTGATAAAGCTGAGAGAGGAAAGAGATGCAGCAGTTGCGGAACACAGTCTAGTGATGTCAGAGCGAGATGTCGTTCACAAGGAAATTGACCAATTACAGGACAGATTGATGGAGCAGGTCAAACTTTATAACTTGGCCCAATTACGAATTGAAGAGCTGACCAATCAGATTGCTTCTAACTGGAGTAGCAGCAATAGGAGAAATGAAGTAAAGGAAGAAGGCGAAGTTTTTAAGGAGGTTGATGAAGTTATTAAGGATGATTGCATTAACAGTAACAATCGTTATCTTGCAAAACATCCTGATTACATCAACAATACTGCAACTAACAATAACCACAACATCAATGGCATTAATAGCATTAATGATAAAAACATTAATAACAACAATGACATCAATGAAATTACACTCCAGCTATTATCCTTCAAGTACCACATCGAATGTCTTGATAAAGAGCTGAATGGAAAAATTTCTGAAATTCGAAGTTCTACTTATATTGAAATAATTTTTTTCATTTCAATTAATTTATTAGTTAATTTTTTTATTTGTGTGTTAATTTAATTGACTTTGCTTAAGCTGAATTAATTAATTAATTAATTAATTAATTAATTAATTAATGTGAATGAATGAATGAATGAATGAACGAATTAATTAATTCGTTATTAATTAATTAATTATTTATTCATTCATTCAATCCTTCCTACTAATCAGTGACCAATCAGGAACTGGCCGAGTGTAAGACTCGCTGCAATTGGGCTTTCTCAGAGAGAGATAAGATAGTGAAAGAGAGAGACGGAGTGAGAGCGATATGTGATAAGCTGAGGTTGGAGAGAGACGTGGCTGTCAGTCAGCTGATCAAGGTACTCAAGGAGTCAGATGATCTTAAGAGGATTAAAAATCAGGCCGTCAGAGATTTGAATTTAATGAAGTTGGTTTTGATGATTGATACGGGGTGATGTGTGCGACTGTTTTGGTGTTGTTGCTTGTATAAGGATGAACACACTGAGGATGATGATGATGACGACGTGATGTAATCTCGACGATGATGAATGGAATAATGATCAAGTGTTAGTGATAGTGGCACAGGCGTTTGTTCACTCGAGAATCAAATACAGTCACCGTTGTACTCTTTGAAAGGCCTGTCTCTATCTAACAAGCTGGTCATTGTTGGGGCATGAAACTTGATCAAGCGACACCGTTTCCTCGGGGTCTTCTTTCTTTGTTGGCTGCTAATCATTAAAGTGTTTAACGTACTTGCGTCGGAATATCTGCTAAAACCTAGGACAAAGACCTGATGACAGGAACTTGCTGAGTGTTCCTTTGACTAAGCTGGTAACTGGTGAACGAAGTTTTTCTGCGACTGGTGTCATGGTGTGGAACAATCCAGCGGGTAGCATTTCCTGATATCTGCAAGACGCTGAGAAGATCTCACTTGTTTAATAAAATGTGTGTGATGTCTTGTCTCCCGTGTTCTTATACT